TGCAGATCAGTGAGTAAGCACAAGCCCGCCTTGTTTCAGTACCTACCTTATAAACACAAGAATGCAATGATCTCAACTACTCACACTTGGAAACCTAGAAACCATACCTACATAAAATAGTTAAAACCCAGGAAATTAATGAAACAAGCCTTTGAGTTGCCCAAAAGAGTTGTCTCAAAAACCATAGATTAATGCATGCACCATAATCATAGGAGACTTTGTTCCAGCTCATTCTCAGATATGCTTCCCATATATTGTACTTACTTTGATTTCTAAGGGAGCTCTGGTGGCACAGTGCCTGAGGCATTTGCCTGCTAACCAGAAGGCTGGTAGTTCAAACGTACCAGCCACTCCTTGTATTGTAATGTCTGGTGCTCCCTAGCATCCTAATAACCCAGGCTAGAAACGTTGAGATCATCTTTGATGAGTATAAATCTCTTAAATTCATTGCATCCAGTTAGCTGTCAAATCCTCCCACTTCTGCCCGTGAATTATCAAGAATCCATCTGTCCCTTCCTGATCCCACTCTGCTTGCCCTCGCTTAACCTTCATTTCTAACCTGGATTCTTACGCTCATTTTCTACCAGTCAGCCATGGCTACGTTTTTTCCCCCTGAAACTGATTATTTTACTTCTGTTATATTGCGGCTGTTAAAATTAAAACTCACAATTTTTAGAGCCCTCTGATAATCTGTTTAACCATATTTCCTTCTTTCTTTTCCTCCCTCTCCTTCATTTCCTCCTGAAATATTTATATTTCTTTATGTATTAGTATTATTACTTATTCTTGGCCAAATATGCCATGAATTTAATTGTTGTTTCCTCAGCTTGGAATGCCTGTCTCCACATTTTAAAATTCCAGTTAATCATCAACCCTAGATCAAATACCATCTTCCTTTGAAATCTTTCCCAATCGGAATACCTACCTTTCAGCCCTTCCAGTATATTTTTATATACTTCATTTATAGTCTCCCTTGTGTTATAATATGCCTGTCTTTCTCCTACATGGATTATAATTTCTTCTTTTTTCTGTTTATATTTTTTTCAGCATGCTTAGCCCTTAGTAGAGAATCAGGAAATGTTTTTTAAAGAATCACGTTTTGTTTGGTCACAAATTATTTCATTAGCTTTCATTTTGATAATCACTAGTAAGTAGTCTTTAAGAAATGTCACAACATTAAGCTTTCTCTTGTTTTAAAGGAAATGCCAAGTACTGTTAAAATCAAAACATGAATAAAATACTCATTTCTAATGAAATTTTCAATAGTAAAATTCTGAGCAGTCTTTCTTATGATTTTGCCCCTTTTAGGCTGGATCAGTGCATGTAAGAATTCGACGAGATGCAAATGAACAAATGGTTCTTGCTCACGTGACCAACAGGCTGTACACTCTGGTGTCTACGCTGACCGTTCAGATTTTCAAGGATGATTGGATTAGGCCTGCCTTACTGTCTGGGCCTGTTTCAGCCAATGTCCTAAACTTTTCAGATCATCACATCATCCCAATCCCTTCTTTAAAGAGTACTGAAGATTTGAATCCTGTCACATCCACCCCAGCTAAACCTAGTAGTCCGCCTCCAGAATTTTCATTTAACACCCCTGGAAAAAATGTGAGTCCAGTAATTCTTTTAAACACACAAACAAAACCTTATGGATTGGGTCTTAATCATGGATATACACCGTATAGCAGCATGCTTAATCAAGGACTTGGAGCTGCAGGAATTGGAGCAACCCAAGGATTCAGGACTGGTCTTATAAATATACCAAGTAAATATGGAACTAACAATAGAATTGGACAACCAAGACCTTAATGCACTCTATTTTAATTTATTTTTGTGAGGAATTTTGACTTCTTGACCTCTGATTTATTGTTCCCTAGCTTTGCATTGACTGTTCAATCATTTACTGTAAATGTTAGAGATAGTAATCTTATTCACATTTCATGAAACCTATGAAGCTATATTTTTGTACAATGTACTTGGGGCAATGAGATCCTTCTAAATGTAATAGGCTTTAAATAAGCTTGCTTTTGAAAGCGTGTTTCTCTAAATTTGAATTTTGCTATCTGCACTTTTGTAATTGACTGCCATATGGACATTAGCTTTTTAAGAGACCCACCTGGTAGTGTGGACCCTGTCACATAATTAATAATGCAGTATTTTCTTCAGTGAAATTTATAAACATGCTTCTTGAATAAGTAACACATTTTAGGAAAGAGAAAAAAAGTTTATTGTGAAAGTACAGGTCAGTTTTATGGCTTGTCAAACTTAATTGCTATACTTTTTCTTGAGGGCTTCCAGAATATGTCTTGCAAAGTAAAGGCAAACCTTTTTTAATTAGACATTTTAGAACATATTCTAGTATCTAACAAATTTCGAAAATTATAATTATCAGGGTTTTTTTTTTTTAATTTTTCTCATTAGAAAATTTTAATATCATTTGTAAATAGTTACTGGTTCTCATTGTTTTATTTTGGTGAAATGAGTACCAAATCCTCTGGTGGTGTGCAGTGAAAGAATACCAGGTTTCCTATCTTATGTTTAACTGAATTCTGACCTAATAATGGAATTTATCTCTTTTTTTTGTCAACTTTTTATTATTTGATTTAAAAACATTTATTACCAAAATATCAAATATGTTATCAAAATATATGAAATTCCATACATCGTATGGAATGTGGTATCTTTTCAGAATTGCATAAACAAATTTGAGTTTACAGTATATAACATAAGGACCTTATAGTATACAGTATGGTTGGGTCTGCAGCAGGCAGTTTCTAACTTTTTTATGTTTTGCTTTGTCAGAAATAGTGATGGTTAACTGTCAGGAAGTATGAGGATCATGTAGATTATTTTATTTGGATTGTTTTCCAAATGCAGATTATAGATATGTATTACAAAAAGTATAGCAACTAGCAGTCACAAATTACCTTCCTATGAGGTTTATTCATTTCATCATGAATTGTGTGACTACAGTTTTGAGAAAGGGAATTTGAGAGTAGATACAACACAATTCTAGAATCCAGTGCTCCTAGAGATTTATGACTTTCTCAGCTGTTGACCAGCTATCCAGGAATTTCTGTTTTTGTAAAATTTGCAACAGTTTCTTCAGTCAAGTTGTCTTTTAAATATGAGCAACACTTCCAAATCCTATTTCCTCACAGTGGAATAGCCAGCATCTAAGAAGTTGCCTCTGACAAGCAGAATTATAGTCATTTTGTGGTAATAAGTGACCATGTCCAAAGTAACATTTGCATGGTGAGGGGTCACTCATTGTCTTTAACATCCGCAGCCCTGTTCAGACATTTATTTGATGTGCTGAAAAAGTAGAGCCCACATTACTTGACTGCTGGGGAAAATGAAACTTCGTAAAATGTAGTAAGGCAGCTTCTTCCTTGTCCTTTGTCTTGTGTTCTCCATCAATTACTGTACCAATATTGGTCTACTACTACAGGATGATTTTTCCCTCCATTGACCTCAACTAAATGTGAATTGGGTCATGCATGAAATTTGAAGAACTACCATGTACTGAATGATGATTAAAAGGTATGTGCTACCAGTCCATGTATATCTTCTTCATCCCTGTGGGATTTAAAGAATGTTCAGGTGCAGTTCTGTGTGAGGCTGCATGCCTCCTTTCTCAATGCACATTCAGAGGCAACACCTGTACACCTGTCCCACCATAGGTGCTTTAATATCCTTCATTGTGTGAGAATGGGTACTCAGAGTTGCTTGTGGATTCTGAAGGAACTGGCTCTGCTTCAAGAAGTTCAGTAATACCAACTGCTGCAGGTGACATTGGCCCATGCATCATTATATAGATAAGTCTTATTTGCCAAATTTTGACCAATTTCTGGATATGAAAATAAGGGACTTTGCCAACATAGGCTTATAGGCAGCAGCCTTACTGTGAGATCTTTTGCCAATTTTTTTGTCACACAGTCACTTGAAGCTGGACAAAGAAGTTTGAATCAGATTCTTGGCCCTTGGTTTATGATTGAGAGCAAGCTCATGGACTGTGAGTAGCCTTGTTCTGAAAAGTCACTGTATTGTAATGGAACAAACACTGGACTAGGAGCAAGAGATTTGGATTCCAATCCTGATTCTGCCAGTGTCTAAGTAGTTTTGTAACCAGGAGCAAGTCATTTAACTTCTCTGAGCTTTCTCATTTGTGAAGTTAGGGAGGGGAGTGAATTAGTTGATCTATAAAATATGAGCTCTACTATTTTATGACTAACTCTGCAGAATATGTGCCCACTTGTGTAACATATTATTGTGTCCAGAATTTGCAGTAACTACCTCAACATATAGGCCAAGTGTTGCCTACACCAACACCTAAGCCATTAATCTGAGGCATCTTGAGAGTAGAAAGTGAACTACAGGCTAACACCATTTAGGTTTTTGGTTTTTTGCCTCAATTTAAATCTGTTACATTAAACAGGTTTTTCTTAGACTTCTTTCTTTGTGGGGAAAGGTTATTTTGGGCAAGTTTGGAGAAAAGATTAGGGCAAGGTACCCTTAGCTTCTGTAGGGTACAAAAGAATGGGGTACATTTTTCCTGTCTTTGTCCATCTCCGAAGTCACAGCTGGAACTGCATACATGCATCAGCTACTGGAAAGGGCCTGAATCTCAAGCCTCTGATTCAGCTGCTTGAAAACTGCCAATTTTTTGCTTGATTAAAGAATGCCAGTCCTTTTTGGGAGTGTGATCTGCTTCTAATGTAAGAAAGTGCTCTTTCCATTCCACATAATTTTAAGTGAACTGTTCAATTAAAGAACATACATGGAGTTTTCTCTCTGATTTAAAATAATTTTGGTCTGATTTAAAATAATTTCTTTTTTCAACTGCTACTTATTGATAAGTTAATTAGCTCAAATTCAGCATACATTTATTGAGAATCTACTACAATCCAGACACAGTACTAAGTAAATATGCATATAATAGCTCAGTCTTCATGATCTGCTATTCTCGGGCCAAGGAGAAACAAGAGTCCCTCCCTTCAAGGAGTTGATAATCGTAGTAGGGAAGGTGAGACACAAAACTGTGGCACATGTCATCAACTTAAACTTCATCCACTTCTTCCTCTTATTTAGCCTCCTTTTCTGGCATCTTTCTCTTTTCATCCTAACTGATGAAACTAAGAAAGTAGATTTCCATGGGAGAGGATAGCTGTGGGCGTGATGGTGCCACACAACCCTCCTGATATCAGTAAGGAGGAGAAAGTTTAACAGGGGTAATCTTTAAAGGAAAAAATTACCTTGTTGAGAAGGATAATTTTGGAGGGTAGACTGCACTGCCATGACATTGGTATGCTTTCACACTCTTGGATTAGATGAGCAAACATTTTAAATTCACCAGACAGAAAGTAATGAGGCCCCCAGAGCATTTGTTGGCTTAGAGTACCCTTTATTTACTAGTTTAAAAGTATCTCTAATAACAATGAAATCATCATCATCAAATTGCCACAACGTAAGCCTAGCTTATGGTGTGGAAAAAAAGTTAATTTGGATATCACATGGCTTAGTTTTCTGGCTAAAACTGCATCAGATAAAAAGCCTTTAGTACTCAGTTGAAAAACACAGTTGTGAAGATTCTCAGATACACCTATGAAGGCAAACCATCCATCACTGCTCACACAGTTTCCTGCAAAATCCCACTGCCAAAAGTTTTGCAGTGGGTTCTTCACAAAAAAATGAACCCGAGTAAAGAAATAAGTTAGTTGGAAACAAAAATTCTTAAGAGGAAAAAGCTTCTGTATGTTCTATTATATACATGGATATATTTGCAGAACTATCCTCTGCCAGACCTTTATATGTTGGATGGTGTGCTGCCATACACCATCCCAT